GTATTTCTTGATTCACGGTATCAAATGCTTTTTTAATATCGATAAACAGGGCTGCTGTTTTTTTATTATTATTAATTCCGTTATATATATCTGTCATAAATTTTGCGAGAGCGGATTCGGTACTCTTACCCTGTAAAAATTCTCGGAAATCACATTTGTATTGTTTAAGAATTGTATTAGTCGACTATTTGTGACTTTCTCGAATATTTTAGATATCACCGAAACTAGAGAAATGGGTCTATAATTGTTGACGTCTTGTTTATTTCCTGCTTTGTATATAGGAATGACGACAGACTCCTTTAAAACATCAGGGAAGGTATTAGTTGTGTAACTTATATTTATAAGATATGCTAGTTTGTCTGCTACTAGGTTGGCTATTGATTTAAGTATTGCACTTGATATATTATCTAGACCTGTTGACCTTTTATTTGCCATATTTTGAATTATTGAGATTATTTCGTTCGGAACTACAGGAGCGAAAAATATTGATTTGCTGTTAACGATCAATGGATATCGTTCAGTATCTGTATCGTGTATACCTGTGGGAAAACTGTTTGAAATGTCTTTTGGAACTTGCACGAAATTAGCGTTGAAAATATTTGCAATGTCAACATCTGAATTATATTCGATCTCATTATATTTAATTGTGTTTATAGATCTATCTATATTTTTACTCTTACCCAATACCTGATTAAGAAGTTTCCATTGCCCCCTAGTATCTCCTATTGTCGTTTGCAGGTTATTATGTAAATACTCAGATTTAGCTACAACAATGTCACTGTCAATACCTTGTTTGAGTTGATTGTATTTGTCAAGTAGCAACGGGTTACTGGGATCGAGAAGTAGCTTTCTTCTGGCAGCGTTTCTTTTTCGTAATGCTTTTAATATATCCTTATTAAACCAGGGGAATGACTGCTTCAACTTGCAAAGTTTGGATCTAGTATGACGTGTTACAGAAGACTTCTTAATCGCTGCAGTTATCGAACTAATGAAATTATTAGTAGCAGAATTAACATCCGCCTCCTTAAGTACAGAATCCCAGTTTGTGTTGCTGACCTCTTTACCAAGCGTAATATGGTCTATATACATGTAGGTATTATTATCTCCTTTCGATTTTTTTACATTAGGAACCATTATTTTCAAGGTTGTTAAACTGTGGTCAGAAATTCCAAGATGGAAGATTCTGCTTTCGAACTCATAAAATTTATTCGTTCTATAAAAAATGTGGTCTAGGCAACTTTTAGAATTTTGAAGTATTCTAGTGTGCTCGTTGATGCAAGATTTAAAACCATTATAGCTTAGAATAGATATATAACGATTCGTATTAACACATTTATTTGAATTTGGATGTATATTGATGTTGATGTCTCCAAGCAAAACACAGTTCATATTGGCAATATTATCAATTAACGGTTCTAACTCATCGAGGAAGCTCGATATATTATATGCGTGTAGCCTATAAATAGCTACTATGTCAAAGGGGATGCTCTTAATTTTGCCTACTAGATGGATCATATCACAGCTTATTAAATTATTTGGTTCAACTTGTACACTACTAAGATTATCTTTTTTAATATAAACAACAACTCCTGCACTTCTTTGCTTTTGATTACATTTATAGAACAAATTGAAGTTGGGAATATGATAAAGATCAATTTCATCTTCCGTGCACCAAATCTCAGTTAACACAATGATATCCGGACCAGCAATTTTACAATGTTCTAATAACTCCAGTTGAGCAATAAATTGATTAAAATTCTTATTGATGCTACGTATATTTTGATTTAAAATTAAAATGCTGTTTTGGTGAGTGGTAGATTGAAAATACTGCAAATCATCCTCTAAATCTGTTAATAATTTGCATTTACAAATATCGTTTTTAGATTCTTTGTATACGTAACATCTATCGTGGAACAGTCTCTTACACATACTATTATCACATTTGACTGAATGATCTAAATTTGTTATTTGGTTGTCACAAAAATCGCAAAAGTTCATAATTATGCTTACTTACCTATTCCAATATAACTAATGATACACCTCACCATGGTTTGTTGACTCTCAAACGTTCCTTAATGTATAGACTTTTTCAGTATAAGTACAGAGAAAAGAAAGAAAGACAAAAAAAAATTTAAGTATATTAAAAAAAAGAATTTTTTTTTTTTTTTTTTTTTTTTTCCTAAAAAAAAAACTCAAAGATTATGTGAAAGTTTTAGAATTAGCAGGACTGCACCAACTACCGGCGAAAGCAAAACAATAATCAAAACTAAATGGTTATATCTTCAATTACAACATGAGACATTTAAAGTATGTAAATTCGCGTATTTATTTATTATTTGGTTTTAGCAGATCTGGTATTATATCGCTTTGAGTCCATCTGGGCGAGAAATAATTCCTTTGCTTTTTCGTAATCGGCACACGACGTTATCATTTTCTTGTCATTGTTAGGAAGCTTCACCAAAATGCGGCCATCAGTGGTCCAGGTGTTTGATCTTCCAAACGTATCACACGAATTACGGTATAAAGTAAAGCGCAATTTTGTTAACGACTCCGTCACCAGGTATCCAGTACCCTTCAAACTTTTTTTAGCCACCCACACTTTGTTTTTATATATATTTCATGCAGACGTCTGAATTGCCCTTTGTGAGTACCCTCTTACGACAATCCGTTCTTGAGGTATACGGGAATATACCCGATCACGATAAAAGGTTGAGACTTTTCATTAGAGTACCATGAAAGGTAAAACTAGTTCCACTCCACCACCACCCCCTTCCCCTCCACCCCGTACTTTGATAAGAGGACAGAAATAAGGACAGTAGTTGGTAGACAACGGTTCCTTTCGTTGAGACCTTTAATTAGAATAAAATTAGAGATAAAATTAATTTTTAACCCCCCCCCCCCCCCCCCCAATATTTGAGGTAAGGAACGAGATTTTGAAAAACGGTTTTCACTTGCCTCTTTGGATGTTAGTCCATTTGATTTTTTTTATTTTTTTAGGATTGTGGGTCATAGTGTCCAAACTAGCCCCCTGGCGGAGAAGGATTCAACTAAATTAACTATATTTTGGTTGATTCTCATTGCCCAAGGAATGCTCTTTTCAACCATACCAAATTTGTTAAAATTTGTCAAACGGTTAAGAAGTTAAAGCAGGTTATTACAAAAACAATTGAACGCCCCACACCATCTTTGTTTTTGAAATAACTGAGTTTTTGTTTTTACGAAAATGATAGATAAACTAGTTCTCTTTTAAAATTTAAGATGGCAGTTACGCCCTCTGTGCGATTCTTCATGACCGATTTACCCAATAATTCTTTTTACCCCTAAGTCATATGACGAATGGTTCTCGAGATATGACCGAAGAACAGTCTTATTGGGTCACCCACTACAAACCAATTTATTTCGATGAGTTATGCACGTTTTACTTTCAAAAACAGCATCTCAGGAAATAATCCGTGGGGGGGGGGGGGGGCTCTTTTAGACAGCGAAATTTGATGGCCGTCTGGCACACCTTCAAGGTATAGGCTACCTACTGCAAACAATTCCAGGACTCTAGGACCATTCCCTAGAAGTAGTTCGAAACGGCAGAAGTGGGTCCGGACGGACGGAAAGACGGGCAAAACGCAAGCAATAGCACATTTTTTTTTAATTCTTAAAAAATGCGTATGTAATGAGAGACATATTATAGGGAAATAAAAATAGATGGAAAAGAAAAAATGGAACCAGTGAGCCCTTTATTAAGGTAGGTACTACAAGAAAAGCAGTAGAAAGAGGAGGTGATAGAGGAGAGGAGGGTGAAAAAGACGAGAAATCAAGAAAAGAAATTGAGCAGCACTTAAAGATACTTAAGAAAGGGAAAGCGACCGGGAGAGATAAAATAGGAAATGAGACTTGAATTCTTGCCACAGATAGGATCAATAAAAGATGAGGAATCTATTAAACAATATATGGAGAGGAGAGGGACTACCTACAGAATAAAAGGATCAAGGGGTAATTGTAACCATTTATAAAAAAGGTGATAAAGACTCCATGGAAAATTATAATTTTGATCATTCTGTTAACTATGTGGATGTTATCGAATTGTTAATGTGTGTACTAACTTGTTGTTTGTAAACTAACATTTACTCTATGAAAGAGGCGGTAGCGAGGGTGGCAAAAACTGTAACCAATAATGAGTTACAACACCTAATGCCAGGATTGACCTCGACTCTCAATTGTCGGCTCGGATATCCCGTACGAGGGGCGAGTTACCTATCTCGAGGACAAGATTCTATTCACAAAAACTTTTAGGTTTTGAATCTATGCGCGAATTATGAGTATATTTTATTACGAGACAGGGCACAGCGATGGCTCAGATCATCATGAGGCTTAAAACCGTTCCGGATTGGTAGTACAAAAAATACTAACCAATAGAAAATGTAAACCTCACCAGTTAATCCGCAATTTGTGGGCGTGAAAAATTACGAACAAACTAAGAAAGGATGTCAGATTTAACAAAATAATTAATATAACTCTGGGAAATGAAGAGACAAAGGAGAAGTGAAATATTTTGGATGTGTCCATTGCAACGAGATAATGGTGCAAATAAGAGAACTAATGAAAAAAGGGAGAATTACTCATTTAGATGTAGATTAATTAGCGACTTCAATTCTTTGTGTATGAATCTTCCTTTTTTAGTCTAATTAACTGTTTCGTCCGTGTAGAGGTAGATGCCGAAATGATAAAGATACTTAGAGACATTCATTTCGAAACTGTAGTCTAGGGTTACAGTATCCAGGACCTTCTGGACTGGAGAAGGTCCGGCTAATTAACGATACATTTCATGTACTTTCTGTAAAAGACTTCAGAATTGTATTGTCACTAATGGGAGAGGTTTGGAGTTGCTTTTAACTCTGCCTGGGATGCCCATTCTTTAGCTTATCAAATGTTGCATTAAATTAACGTGTGAAGGAGTCCAGGAGAATTTGTTCAGCATCTTTTGTGCCTTAGGTAACGCATGTAAGTATATTCAAAAAAAATTTTTATTCGGTTCACAATCTGTAGAAACTAAAAATATTCTGTGTATAATTTAACCACAACCATAAAGACTAATGCACTCGCAAACTAAAAAAAGGACTATAGCAAATCGCTTGAAATTTACACGGCCGATTCAAACGATTGCTTCAAATCGATGGCGGTGAGCGCCAATATCTCCTCCATGACAGTCTTATAGCACCAAGAGTCGCCCTTCAATCGCTTTCTTCGTATCCCAACGGTCGCCGTTGGTAACCTGACGACGGGGAACAAGGTCCTGCGCGGCCCCGGACTGTAATTAGAATTTTTCAGGATCGACTTGGTGGGCGTCGACTCGCCGCCCGAGGGCACCTTAGGATGTAAATCTAAGCACGGTAAATAGCATATTTCCAGCTCGAACGAACAACCGTTCAATCTGCGCGTTGCGTTCGGTTCCACTTTCCCTCTGAGACAGAATCTGAAACAAGATCGGCAATGACAAATGCCCAAGAATTTTCCGTTTACCCCTCGCGCTCGCACGCAATGCCCTTCTTCTCCAGCGCCTCAGAAAGTTGACTGATTACAAATTCGGGATCCTTGTACTCGGTGCTCGACACGTTGCACAGATCCTAAAAAGCGATGCGAAATGAAATTATGGATACCGGACGATCACTTACTTTGCTGGTGAGAATTGCGGGTTGTTGCGGGTCGTTCGGCGTCTTTCTCGGCGTCAATACGTGACGGACGCGGTGCAGCGATCTCTCGATCGTGCCCAGAACGCGTCTCGCCGATCCAGGCGTTGCCGGCTTGGCGTGCCTCCTATAAAAACAAATCAGGCGAAATTATTATAATTGCGCGCCGTTGGCCGCAATCCCGTAAAGGTTGACCAAACACGCCCCTCAGCCCTTACTTTACAACCCCTACTTCACATATAGCGTCGGAGTTTATTGCTTTAATTTGCGTGGAGATCTACTAGCTATTAACACTTGCAAATTACCGCGGCATTTGCATAAATAGCAGGGGTTGGCCTTTAATTAAGACGCGGCGGCGTTACTTACAAATCGGGAGTTCGAGCCTTGACGACGTCAGGTGTGGGCGTCTTCTTTATTTTCTTAACGGGAACTGCAATAACAATGAAATGAAAGTTTACGCTCTTACATAAATCTTGTAACAATAATAGTGCCCTTATAAGAATAAATGTTAGCATATAGGATCATGAAAGAGGGTAACAAAGTTAAAACGACGATATTTCAGATCCGGGGCTGTGAGCTATCTCTCCCGTGGGATCACTTTCGCAAGTGCACCAACCATATTTTCCGAGCACTTTCTTATTAGTGTTTAGAACACTTGTATAAAGTTGAACTAATTTAAGAGTTTCAAGTCATAAAGAAGAAGGTAACAGCCCTTGAAAAACGCCGGACACTGATGTACATTACATGGCAAGATTCTCCCAAATCTCTTCACCCCTTTCGTTTCTATTTCGTTATTTTTCCGTTTAAACTTTAATTACTTTGCGACATCGACAATATTAATTGCTTTTTAAACAGAAATTCAACAATTATTGGGAGTGAAATATTATAGGCAAAAGTACAACCCTAATTTATTTTAAAGAAAAGTTTCAATATAGCCATAAAATAGCCCGAGAAATACCATCCAAAATTCAGATTAATAGACTGAAACAAAAGTATTTCTTAAAAATCACCACGTCGTTTCCTCCCCTAAGATTCCTAAAATTTCAAATTGCCATAATCACGAATGATCCAAATTTCTTAATTCTTAATTTAGGTTTCCAAAATTTCAAAAATCTCAATTTCCCAATAGCACAAAAACTTTGAAAACCTCTATTCCCAAAATAATTTGATTCGATAATCCCAAAATCAAATTTCCAAAAATTGCAAAAAGGCCCGAAAATTTCAAGCCTCAGAATTACCTATAGAATTTCTGCTTTGCAAAATTTATAGAAATTCCTAAAAAAATGTATATTAAATTAAATTACAAATATTCAAGAATCCGAAATTCCTAAAATTTGAGAGCTCCCAAGCTTTCAAAATTTTAGATTCCCAAAACTTCAACAATCCCAAAAATACCAATTCCTATAAACTCCAAAAATCACAAATTGTCCAAACCTAAAATTTCAAATTCTTATATCAAAAATCCCAAAATCTCAAGTTGCCAAAATCTCAAATTCTAAAAATCCTGTAATATTCGTTTCTAAAATTTCAAAATCGACAAAATTTCTAAAACTAAAAAATTTGAAAATTACTCCCCAAATTTTAGAATCTAAATCCCAAAATCTCAAAAATTTAATTACCCAAATTTCAAAAATCCTAAAATTTTTAATTCCCACAAACTTAAAGATTCGAAAATTTTAAATTTTTAATTCCCAAAATATTAAAAATCTCAAAAATCTTAATTTCTAAACCACTAAATATCAAATTTCAAAAATCTTAAATTTGTGTCAAATTCTCCAAATTTACAAAATCCTCAAAAATACAAAATTTCTAAATCTATTCAATTCATTTCGATAATCCCAAAATCTAAAACCTCTAAGATCACAATTCCAAATTCACAAAATTTTTAAACATAAGAAAATTTCAAAAGTCTTAAATTTTCATAATCTCTAAACCCACACGATCAAATTACCAAAATTTGAAATTTTCAAACCTTAAGGTTCCAGAATTTCAAATCCCAAATTCACAAATTCGGAAATTCTAAAATCCCAGCATGTGAAATTAAATTAAATTCCCAATATCTCATTTCCAAAATTTCAAACATTTCAAATTCTTGGAATATCTAAAGTCCCAAAATCGCAAGTTGCCCGCAGTTTATAAACTCCAAATCTTAAAAATCCCTAAAAGTACAAAATCTAATTTCTCAAAATTTCAAAAATTCCCAAATCTAAAATTTCCAAAGCCTGAGATTTCTAAGATTTTAAAAATCTAAATCCCAAACATTGCATTTTCTTAATTTTCCTCAGTTTTGCAAATTCTAAAGTTTTTAATTCTCAAAAAAAGATTCAATGTTCCTTTCTCTACAACTATCATAAGATCGTCGTATACTGAGGGGTATTCCATACTCTCAGCCCCCCCCCCCCCCCGTCATGTTTTTTTCGCAAAACGTTCAGCTTTAAGGATTTTTTTGAAAAATGATTCCAGTATTGATAACTTCCCTGAAATTAAAAATTACCAAAATCCTGAAATGTCCACAATCTCGAATGATCAAAATCTCAATTTCTCCGAAAGTTTTAAGTCAAAATTTCAGAATTTCTATTTTCCAAAACATAACAGAAATAACAAAATAAAACCCAAATTTCATAAATTTCAAGTTCCTAAAATTTCAAACCCAATTTTTCAAACTTTTAGGTTCTCAAAATTTCAGGAATCTTAAATTCCTAACTTTCGAAAACTAAAATTTCCAAAATCTCAAATTCTCAAAAAGCGAAATTTCTAAATTTCGGACCTCTAGTCTTTATTTTAATTAAATTTAAATTAATTAATTAAATTTAATTAATTATTTAAAATAATTGACATTTTCAAAATCTCAAATTCCCAAAATACACATTCTAAATTCAATTGTTCTAACATCGCAAATTTCTCTAAATTTAAAAATCACCAAAATTGTAAAAGTCCCATAGTGTCCATAATTTCAAAACTTCAAAAATTACAAATTCCAAAAATCTGCTTAAAATCTGAAATTGTCAACACTCGAAATCCTAAACTTTCAAATTCTTATATCAAAATTCCAAAATCTCAAGTTCCCAAAAACTCCAAATTCTCAAAATCCCGTAATATCTATGCGTTTCTAAAATTTCAAAATCCACTAAATTCCCAAAATTAAAAAATTTGATCTGAAAAATCCAATTTTGAAAATTTTGAAAATTCTAAAGTTTTTAATTCTCAGAAATTTAAAAATTCCGGAACTTTAAAATTTCCAAAAATTTAAAAAAATTTATCTTAATTTCTAAATCACAAAATATCCAAATCTCAACTTCCCCACATTTAGAAAATCCTCAAAAGTCCAAAATATTTCCAAATTAATTCAATTCGATAATCCCAAAATCTAACCTAAATGCTGTATCACAGTATGAAAAATTTATCCTGCAAAACGTTCAGCCGTAAGGATTTTTTTGAAAAATGATCCCAGTATCTCAACTTCCCTGAATTTAAAAAGTACCACAATTTTAAAAATCCTAAAATGTCTACAATCTCGAATGATCAAAATCTCAAATTCTCAAAAATGTCAAATCTCCAAAATTTCCAAAATAATTAGATTCGATAATCCAAAAATTTCAAAATACCCTTTAACTTTCAAGTTCCTAAAATTTGAAAACTCAACTTTTCAAACCTTTAGGTTCTCAAAATTTCAAGAATCCTAAATTCCTAACATTTGAAAATTCTAAAATTTCCAAAATCCAAATTCTCGCACCTAGCTAGATTTAAAATAATTGACAATTTCAAAACCTCACATTCCAAACATACACATTCTAAATTCATTTGTTCTAAAATCGCAAATCACAAATTTAAAAATCACCAAAAATTCCCATGGTCCCATAGTGTTCATAATTTCAAAACTTCAAAAATTGCAAATTCCAATAATCCGCTTAAAATCTCAAATTGTCAACAGTCCAAAACTCGAAATCCTAAAATTTAAAATTCTTATATCAAAATTCCCAAAAACTCCACATTCTCAAAATCCCGTAATATGCGTTTCTAAAATATCAAAATCCACTACATTCCCAAAATTAAAAAATTTGATCTAAACCCCAAAATCTCAAAAATCCAATTTTCAAAAATTTGAAAATTCTAGTTTTTAATTCTCAGAAATTTAAAAATTCCGGAACTTTAAAATTTCCAAAAATTTAAAAAAATTTATCTTAATTTCTAAATCACAAAATATCCAAATCTCAAATTCCCCACATTTAGAAAATCCTCAAAAGTCCAAAATTTCAAAATATATTTCCAAACTAATTCAATTCGATAATCCCAAAATCTAAAACTTCTAATTAAACATTAGAGAATTTTTTGTCAAAATCTGTAAGCTCCAAAATCTCAAAACCCAATTCCATTATCTTAATTTTCCAAGGTTTTGAAAAGCCTACAGTTTTTAAGGAGGGGGAGGGGGGAGTCTGGGGGCTATGGAATATCCCCAAGAAAGAAATCTTTGTTTTCGTTATTTAACCTAAACGCTGTGTTACAGATATAAAAAATGCCATTAGCTTTTATTATTTGAAACCATTATCATTTTTGGTGTAAGTAAATGCTTTAATTAATTTAAGGGTTATGTTTTGATTGCATAGCCTTGCCGTGAAGTAAAGAGACAATCCCAGAAATGAGAATAGCTACTGTAACTAAAATAAGACAGTGGTTGATCACGAATCTCAGGTTTACGCCGTCATTTCTCGAACGAGGGTCAAGTCACCCGTCCCAGGGGGTGGAACTCTGCTAGCAAAAAAAGGCTCTTCGGATTTGAATCTCTGTGTCATATGAGTTAGGATTCGCTAATGTCCACATATTTCGTAGTTTCATCCATGTAACTTTCTATGTTGGTTTTTTAAAAAACTGTTTTATTACACCTCTCTCTTTCTACTAGTCAAGAGTATCTTTCATGGAAAATGGGATGAGTTGGGGGCAGGCCACAAATGTAAACAAATCATAAAATGAAGAAAGATTAAAGCCTTAGTTTATTTTGAACCCAATTTTTTGATATACTTGCCTGTCACGCCCTGCAAAAGGCCAACTCTTACCTTGAGCGACATCTGGTTCTAAAACTGGACTCCGAATTCTCTTCTTTGGCTGTCGTACTGCCGAAGACCTTCGACTAATGGGTGTTATAACGACAGTGGGAAGATTCTCCGTGTTCTCTCCTAGAGTCGTTCTCGCACTCTAGAAACCATATAACAATAACGGCTCTGACTTTCGTAGACTTACCGGTCTAGGCTTAGCCGGCGCGCGTAACGGGTGCGGGCTGAGTCTCAACGGTACACCCAGCGCGTTCCGGTGCCTCAATATGAAGTAGGTCGCGGTGTTGTAGTCGTACTTCCACTTCTTCAGCTCGGTCCAAACGGCCTCCGGCGTCGCGTTCTGGCTGTTCGCCATCAGATCGACGCATTCCTTATCTCTGGCGCGATTGTTCTCCGCGTAAAATGTGACCGGGTCGAGGACGCCGCACGCGGTAATCCAGGGGTGGCTCAGTAGTTTTGTAATCGTTATGCGTTGCTTCGGATCTACTTGCAGCATCGATCTGATCAAGTCTCTGCTCGCTTTCGACATGAACAGCGGCTCGTAATATTTTCCGCTCTGAAATGAGATTGATAAGAGTTGTAGTGGGAGTCAGTAGTTCTGGACAAGTTCAAGGTCACTCGCCACCTGACGGCGACCTTGGAAAGTAGGTCAAGGTGAAGTTCAAAGGTCACCTTGGAAAGTAGGTCAAGGTGAATTTTTTTGAGAATCGTAGTTCGCGGCTGGGCGAGTAAGGTTGTCAGAGGGCGCCCGTGACACAAGTAAAATTTAAAAAATTGTGTGTTGCCGGTAAGCCGAGAAGGTTCTCCAAAAGCACGAATCAAAAAAGTAAACTTTTTGAGAATCATGGTTTACGGCTGAACCAGTGAGGTTGACTAAGAGCGCGTGTCATAAAAGTAACTTTTTTTACCTCTGGACCAATGAGGTTGTCCAAAAGTTCGCCCCCAAAAATGAAATTTTTCGAGAATCATAGATGGCGGCTGGACAAATGAGATTGTCCAAGAGGACGTGTCATAAAAGTAAAGTTTAAAATCGTGTTTTGGTGCTGGACGAGTCCAAAAACACACGCCGAAAAAATTCCTTTTTGAGAATCGTGGTTAAGCGGCAAGACCCGTAAGGTTGTCCAATGACACGCGTGAGGAAAATAAAAATTTAAAAAATCGTGTTTTGCGGCTAGACGGAGAGGTTAGTTAGTATAAAGGGCCGATCCTGACTAAGTTCATGGTCGATCGCCACCTGGTGGCGGTGACCTTGGGAAGTAGGTCAAGGGCACGTGCCAAGTGGCGATTCACCCAAAAACAATGACCACATTTGTAAGGTGTAAAATCACATTCTCAAGGTTATAAAAATTTTCAAGATCATCTTAGGTCTTTGACCCCGTAAATTTTCAAGGTCATTCGAGGTCGTTGTCCCATTTTTTGTGTTGTAAAAATATATTTCCAAGGTCACCCGAGGCCATTGCCCCTCAAATTTTCAAGGTCACCCTAGGGCATTGACCCCATTTTTTGTGGTCATATTACATTTTCAGGGTAATCCAAGGTCTTTGGCCCTACAAATTTTCAAGGTCGTTGGGCATTAACCCCGTTTCTGTGGTGTCAAATTACATGTTCAAGGTCACCCGAGGTCATTGGCCTCACACATTTTCAAGGACACCTTAAGTCATTGACCCCATTTTTGTTATCAAAATACATTTTCAAGGTCAGTCTAGGTCATTGACCCCCCCCCCCACAAATTTTCAAGGTCATCCGAGGTCATTGACCCATCTCTGTTAGCAACCCTGCGGTGACCTGGAAAAGTGGGACAAGGTAAAGTCCAAATTGCACTCGCTCCCTGCTCTCTCCTGGTGGTAACCTTCAATGTGTCGATCAAAGGTTACTTCACGTTTCCAAATGATCTTTTTTCAAACTAGAGGTGAGTTCAAGGACACATTATTACGATATAAAACGCGTCGGTGTACATGATAATTCAGTCAGTCGGTGCCTTGAATTAAAGATGGATTTCTCCGATTTAAACCGTAATACGTTGTGCAAACCCTTTAAAAATCCTAGTGAACTTGAATTATCGAAAAAGTACAAAGTGTTGGAAAATGATGTGATTAATACAAGTACGGAGAACGGATAATAATAGACACATGATTTTAATAATAATTTGTGGGGTCAATGACCTCGGGCGACCTTGAAAATGTTAATTGAAACCAAAAAATGGGTTAATGACCTCGGATGACCTTGAAAATGTAATTTGACACCACAAGAATGGGTTAACGGTCTCGGGTGACCTTGAAAACATGATGACCTTGTTAATGTAATTTGACACCTCGAAAATAAGGTCAATGCCCTTGGGTCAATCGCCACGTGGCACGTGACCTTGATCTACTTCCCAAGGTCACCGCCAGGTGGAGGGGGGCTAAGTTTACTTTCTTCGACGTCTCTCCTTTTCACCCTTTTTTATATTTTGGCGTTTACTTCAGAAACGACGAGGACTAGAACGATGCGGTTTTTTTACGTTGATCTTCGATATCGATCGGCCGCGTTCTAGAATCGGCGCCGAAATGCGCAGAAGCCGAGAGATGTTTTATTTGTTCTTTAACGTGCGAGGCGAAGTCGAGCAATGTTCCAACGGTCCTACACAATCGTGAGACTAAGTGCCATCTACATTCGGGTTTTATGTTTACCCCCTCCCCCCCCTTGCCTATAGAAGGCACTTTTTTCATTTTTCTAAAACGCAGAGGGCTAGAAAGATACGGTTTTTTATATGGGTCTCCTATATCACTCGGCCACATTCTAGAATCGACGGCGATTTGGGTACATGCGCGAGGCGAGACTGAGCGACGTCTTCTTTGTGTGTTTTAATGGGCGCGACGAAGCCGAGCAATGTGTCAACGGTCCTATACACAAACGTGGCATTTACATTCGGGTTTTATGTTACCCGTCTCCCTCCCCCAATTACCTATACATGGGACGTGACGAGAGCTATCTACAACGGTGCGTTTTTTTTTTGTATATTGCTCTCCTATATCAATCGGTCACGTTTTAGAATCGAATGCCTATACTATCGTACTGCGCATGCACAAAACGCAACTTTCTTATTTATGGAATGGTAATAAAATCAAACAAAATGGATGCGCCAAAGATCGTACTGTACATGCGCAAAACGCAACTTTCCATTTTATGGAACAATTTGAACGACCTTTTTATAGTCTGTCTAATGAAAAATGAAAGGGCCAAAAATCGTACTGCGCATGCATAATAGACAACATTCTTATTATCGTTTTTCGATTTGGAGTAATTCAAAAATCGGACTACTTCGCGTCGACGATCTAAAAGATCCTAACCAAATCATTGTAAAATACTCCACTTTTAAGTGATTTAATGAAATAATAGGGTAAGGCCAAGCCGAGTCATAAACAAATATATATTGAGCGAGGCGAGGCGGCGAAGCCGCCGGAGCCGAGCGTATGTATTAGCAAAACCAACCATAAAAATTAGCGAGCGCGTATGTTTGACAGGGTGAGGTCCCCAAATGACTTTTTTCTGGCCTAGATGTCAATAATAATCTAAATAGCAGTACATTTTAGACGATTATGCAATTAAAGGCAGTCCAATGAAAATAATCAATCGTGGTTATGTCTGAATCGAAATTTTGAAAAAAGTCACTTTATATGGGTGATGTCCCCAAAAAATAAGCACTACTTAAAAATTTCAAAAAAAATGTTAGATATGCTTACCATCCCGAGAGTACAGTGCGTTAAATCAGAATTGATTTGAAAACGTCGATTTCTTCATGAAACATTTACTAAAGTACGAGAAAAGTTTGGCGGACATTTGAGGTCTCTAACTGACCTTTTTGGGGCCTCAAAAATTGGTATTAGCTAAAAATCGGAAATTAGAGGCAATTTGTCTCGAATAATCAATCATGTCACATCGAACGCGATTATGTGCCCATCCGAAAACGACGATTTGAATCAAATTTTTAAAAAAATCACTTTTTATAGGTGATTTTCCACAGAAATTCAAAAAGTTTCCAATTCGGTCGGTTCAACAGCATTTTCTTACCTCACTAAGCCTGAAACTGGGAAATTTTGTTCGTTCAAATCTTATAGAAAGGAAAACATTCATCATTTTAGGTTATTTCTTTCAAAAATGCAGTACAATGAATAGTGCGTGGCAAGCCGAGCTTTGGACTGACACGGACTGGAGGGAGGCGAGGCGAGGCGGCGAAGCCGCCGGAGCCGAGTGCATTTCTGCTCAAAATCAAAGTGTTATCAAAATTAAAAAATCTGCAATTTGATAGCAATATTGATCGTAGGTTCCTCTAATAAAAACAAACAAAATCAAAGTGCAAAAAATTGCATTGGGCCGAATATAGATAACGCCTCAAAACTGAAGACACAAACGTAAAATACCGCTAGGCGTAGTCTTAAAATGCGACACATTTTTACCAACCCATACGATGACCTTGATTAAAAAGGAGACTATCAATATATTGGTGCTTTTTTTGAGCCAAATCAAATTTTTTTCAAATTTTTCGCCTTTTAGAAAATTCCAACATACTTAAAGCAACCCTAACTACATGCTCACAACCGATAAAAAAAATGACGGTCAAACAACAAAAAACGGCGATTGCTAAGAAAACGTCGGTGATAGGCCCATAGTTGCCTACTAAAGTGTAGATAGAATATACCAATATCACAGATTTGAAACTCACATCGCCGGTTGGTTGATTTTTTAAATGCTAGTAAGAAATCCTTGTTGGAGTAAGGGTAACTGTTTTTTTTGTGCTAGCTTCAGGGCAAATTGTAAGATATTACACATACAAGCGATCAAAAAACGCCAATTTTTTTCCAACGAATTTCAAAAATTGGTCCAATTTTAAATTGTTGGTACTTTTTGAACTCTCTGATTGATGTTCTACAATCTTTAGGAAGGGGGGGGGTGGATTTTATCGTTCCTTTAGGAGCCACAACGCATTAAGAAAGGTTAACTCAGTTCTTTAGAAAAGTTGGAAAAAATGGGCGTTTTTTGATCGCTTGTAAAAATGTTTCTATTGGACCGATTTTATTTGTTTTTTTATCGACGCAGAATTTTGTTTTCTTTACGTTTTGAGGTTTTTTGGCTGCCAGAAGTTGTGCCAAGAAAAATTGGTGTGCACTCTTCAAATACATGTTATTTGGACCCAAATGGACCATTTAAAACGTTAAAATCGTTTACACCACATTTTGCAGGAATCGGCCATTCTGACTGCTCCGCATACTGGACTATCTGAGGAAACTGATAATTTTAGATAGGAAATATACACAAACGTGTAATTTAGTCATATTTGATTTGATCTAACTAAACAAAGTGCTACGCGTCTGGTAGTTTGAAAGCATTGTTATAAAACAGAGTTCATATTCAGCACTACTTATGATATAATATGCCTAGTATTGTACGTACCCCCCCGCCCCGTCAAAGAGAAATATTATTACAGCCTCATTATAGGGTTTTTTTTATTTCTTGAAGCATCCTGATAGGATGCAAAGTTTTACAAATAAAAAATTATTTCCAATGTACCTATAATAAGATATCCATTTTTCGTCTTGGGAATATGTGACATTATGATTTACAAATCAACAGCATTCAAATAAATTAATAATAATAATAATAATAGTTTTATTTAGTTATTAGGAACGGCGTAACAATGTGTAGGGTAATGCTAGGTAGTTTCTTTTGTTTTTCCTTTCAAGTAATGAGTTGTCGCCTCAGGCGTTATAAGTGCAATTTGAGTTGCCTATCCTTACGTTAGCGTTTTGATTTTTTTCTGAAGATCGCGAAACATATTTTTTTAAATATATCCCTTATCATAATAGATGGAAATAATATCTTTAAGTACCGCCGTAAGAAATACTGTCGGATTTTCAAATTGGTGCTGTACATTTTTCTACCCTCATTACAACGGCTGTTATCTACAAAAAACGATTTTTCTATTCATCGATCTTCCTAAAAAACTAAGACCGATATTTCAATTGTTTTTTTCTATTTCGGTGTCACAATGATGATTTTGTACAACTGTTTTCGGCCGAAAACAGTTGTACAAAGACAGTGATTATAGTCGTTTTTTTTTTGGAACTCATCTCAAGTTGGCAGTTACTAGTTAGTACAAGTAGGTACTTCGTTGGGTACTTCCATGTTTGAACTTCCAAAATGTCAGTCTTACTACGCTGCCAACCTAAAACTTAACGGCATAAAAAGTGTTCCCAACATAAAACATGTTAGTTCTAATGTTCCCTATAGTTTCTGATAATGATTTTTTTAATTAAATTTAAGCACCGAAATAGAAAAAATAGTATGAAAAACGCGTGTTACAATGCTTTATTGTAATACTCCTATCTTGCGGACACTCGTGGCTACGCTTCGCGTCGCCACTCGTGCCACAAGATAGTCGTATTACAATAGGTCGCATTGTAACACTTGTCTTTCAATATACTATTAAGTACCGCCGTTCTTTTCATCATTGCAAAGAATATCCACTATCGAGAATTTATTAGACTTCAACTACAAAAGCAGCATTTCATAAGAAAGTTTAGCTATTTTTCCAATATGGCGGATTGACTACAGAGGAGCCTTAAAAAATAAAATCAAAATTATACAAGTGGGAAATTCGGTTTTCCACTCTGGGTAATACCATGTGTCAGCCCTCACACTCTACCCTTGGGTTACAAAAGTCCCACACCAAACGTTGAGTCTCGGATAAGAGATCCATCCCAGGCTCAACCGCCTAAACACGAAAACCAAAGGGGGTGAGTGTAATACACAACCTACCGAGGATCCGCTTACGCCACCCAACTACACCTGTCAGAAAACAAAAACAAAATTGTAGCACATGGTCGCTGTCAAGAGAAGCGCATTGTGTCTAAATGATATCATGTATAAATAGTGCCTTTAGGCACTTTCCGCATTTGTTCGCCTGAAAATTTTGAGAAATATGGTGTATTGTGTGTTGCCTATCTAAACTTCTACAAGGTCTGAAGAACCCACACCAATCTTCCTTCTAAAAAATTAGACAAAAAGATTTATCATAAGAATCAACACAGTTTTGAAGCCCCACGCCTCAAATGAGTGTAATTTCGTACATCTGTCTGTCCTAGTCGAAACTGATAACTAAGAAAGTGTGCAGACAAATTCAATGAAACTTGGTATACGGCTTGGTAATTAAGCTAAATGTAATCCCAAACAAGTTTTGGATCCCACAGGTCAACTCCCAAATAAAACAGGGATGCAATTACCAAAATTTTTTTGTACAGCGCGTCTATCTTCATGTCGTCAAAGGGCAGACTTCCGGTCAGTAAAGCGTACAGCAGCACTCCCATCGACCACACATCCGCCTCGCTGCCACAATACGACTGCCCCATCACCAACTCGGGGGCAGCGTACGCCGGCGACCCGCACGCCGTCGTCAGCGGAGTCTCGATGCCGCCATCCGGCTTCGCGCACAGACCAAAATCGATGAGGCGCAACGACTGATCGCTGCTCAACAAGATGTTCTCCTGAAAACCACCAGTCGCTCGGTCAACCGTCGTGAGATCGGCCACTTACCGGCTTCAGGTCGCGATGCGCGTACCCCAAACTGTGCAGGTAGGCAACCGCCGATAGTATTTGCCTGAAGAACTTCCTGCTCTCGTGCTCGGACAGTCGATTTCGCTCGACGATGTGATCGAAAAGCTCGCCGCCTGCGCAGTACTCGGTTACGATGAAGAAGTGCGTCTCCGTTTCGAGCACCTGGTACAGCTTACATATGTTTTTGTGCGACAACGTCTTTAGGGCTTTCAATTCGAGCTTAACGCGGGGTAGATCTTTGCCGAGGCAGGTTTTCTCCATGATCTTAATGGCGACCTTACCGCCGGTTGCAGTGTGTGTAGCTAACTTTACTTTGGCAAATCCTCCACAGCCTATCGTTTTCTCGAGGTCGTAGAGACCTCGTAACACAGAATAACGAACCATTTCTTCTTATGTGCTAATGTTTGGTTTGGTTACGAAAAACTTTGAAAGGTTTACATTTAAATAAATAACGTGCTCTTCCGGTCTTATAAATAGGGTTGTTAGCGAACACTCATAAATAAATACAATAATAACGACATTTTTAAATTCAAAAGATTAACGGATTATTAAAATAATGAAAACATAAACTACAGACATGCCAATCGCTAATGACATCAAAGACAAATTTCCCCAAATAAACTCCAATTAGGTAATGTCGAGTCTACACCTGCACAGTAACAACTCCGACTCGGCTTTATCTCTTTTCCGCCTGCTAATCAGCAACACAGCGTGCAGTTTGGTTTACACAAGACTCAATGACGAGACGTTACCTTTGTTTATTGATTTGTTGTTCTACGTAAATGACTAATAAGTGCTTCCACATATTTTTCGAAATGTAGTACCTACTCACCATTATAATTTAAATGTTTATTTTTCTTATCTCTTATCGTTACCTCTTACCGCTTACCGTTACGGAACTCTGAATCGGCCTTTACTTTAACCTATACGTTTACCGGTACTTGAGCTACTGCCAGAGTTTTTTATTTTTGATAATTTTATTATAAATTCAGTGTGGTCAGTGGTGTGAGCCCTCGACTGGTAAGAAATGTGTATTGATTGACAAACAAAAATTGTAACACATTTCTTGATAACGTTTCTGCTGGCTACCATCCTCGCTACCATCATCAATCATATCTACATATGGAGGGAGATGATGCCCTACCACTGATTAAAATCGAACCAAAACAAGAAGAAGAAATCCATTCCGATCTTAAAGGAAACATTTTAGTAAGCAACGAAGCATCAGTTACAATAAAAGATGAAGAAATTACCATTCTCGATAACGAAGAAGTACAACAACAAGATATTAAAACTGAAATTTCCAAAGTTTATGAATGTGACTTTAAATGTGCTCATTGTGATTATCGAGCAAATAATAAACAAGGTCATAAACGACACCTATTAAAACATATCGATTTTAAAGAATTCAAATGTTCTAATTGTGTTTACGAGACAAATAACAAGTACTATTTTAAACAGCACCTTTTGAAACATACCAATTCTCAAGATTTTAAATGTGCTAATTGTGATTACAAGACAAATAACCAATACAACTTTAAACTACACCTTCTAAAGCATATCAATTCTAAAAATTTTAAATGTATACATTGTGATTATGGAACATATAATAAACAATATCTTAAAGAACATCTTTTAAAACATATCAATTCTACAGAATTTAAATGTGCTAATTGTGATTATGAGACAAATAACAAATACTACTTTAAAAAACACCTCTTAAAACATACTGATTCTAATGTTTTTAAATGTGCTCATTGTGATTTTGAGACAATTAACAAATACTACTTTAAACGCCACCTTTTGAAACATACCGACTTTAAAGTTTTTAAATGTCCGCATTGTGATTATGGAACATATAGTAACCAATATTTTAAACAACACCTTTTAAAACATATCAACTCTAAACATTTGAGATGTGCTAATTGTGATTACGAGACAAATAACAAATGCTACTTTAAAAGGCACCTTTTAAAACATATCGATTTTACAGTTTTAAAATGTGCTCATTGTGATTACGAGACACTTAACAAGTACTACTTTAAACAACATCTTTTAAAACATACTAATTCTAAAGATTTTAAATGTGCTTATTGTGATTACAAAACGCATAAGAAATACAACCTTAAACGACACCTTTTAAAACATACCAATTCTAAAATTTTGAAATGTGCTCATTGCGATTATGAGACACGTAATAGATTATGTCTGAAACAACACCTTTTAACACACAAACCGTATTTACAAGGAACAAATTTCTCGTTAAATTAAATGTTAATTCTGTAGTGTGTGGTGGTTTTATATGAGAGGAAGGTCTATGTGTCTAACTTACTTTTGTAAATATTTTATTCAATAAAATGTTTTATTCCTCTAATCAATCTATTTAGTTCGTTTTCTAATCATATATTACTGTTTAAACCATGGTCGCCCAGACAAAAATACAAATGCTAAAATGTTACGCAATACTTTCGGGCCCCCATTAAAAAAAATAAAACTGTCGGCCCCTATAGGTCACTTAAAATGACTTCTGAACGCCACAGAAACAAGATTTACAAACAACATTTAATTGCGTTTATTTTCACAAACAATGTTTCAATTCCACACTTCCTGCCTAAATTAAATCCTATATCTTTCCCCAATACTACGTACATTAATCTACCCATAACAAATCCCAATATTCGTCAAACCGAAACGAAAACTGAAAAAAAGCAATATCAATGTGCTGTTTTGTTTTCTTATTTTAAAACACCTCGCTCTTTTTGTCAATTGAGATATCCTTTCGATTGCCCTGTTTATTTCGGTGTCGAATGCAACCACTCAAATAGTCTTCACTTCCTTTGGCACTTGTTTACTAAAGATTGTAACGGACGCATCGCATTCCGATATGTCTAGACCACTCGTTGCGTGAAAGTCATGCGCAGTAGCAGCTACAGGACGGATCTTGCAGCTGTTTTGCTAGGGGTTATTCCTTAGAGTATGGGTTATTCAGTGCCCTAACCTAACATTCACATATTTTCTGTGAAATAAAACATGGAATTGTTAGAGGATTTTCTGGTTATTAATAACAGTATCCGTAATGCAAAAACAAAACAAAATACAAAACTGACAAATGACAGTTCAATTCTTGTCTGTGATTGGTTAGCGCATAAAGTTCGTCCACGATTCGGGAATGCAGCTAAACTTGAACTTATCCCTATCGTATACGATCATGACGTCATGGCAGCCGGTCACATCACATGCACCAGAAATGGGTAAAATGCATTTAAATAAGTATTTAAAATGGAAAATGCAAAATGTATTCAGATATTGTATTTAAAATGTAAAATGCAAAATGGTTTTTGTACATTTATTTAAAATACAAAATAGAAAATAGGTATTTGAAATAACATTTCGAATACAAAATGGTTTTACAATTTATTTATTTGCAATAAAATTTACATTAGCTTTAATTATTAAAAGTTTTTCAAATGTATCATCATTCATGCATCGACGTTTTGGTCGCATGATCATCCCTCTGCGTATGAAAACAGCCTTTCAACAGGAGCCGATGACGGAAGTGGTGTGTTGTATTTTATAAATAACTTTTTGATGTTAAGAAATTGATCCAACATTGACAAATTTGTAAGTGGACTCTGAAGATATTGAAGGGCTTCAAGCTGTAACCCATTATTTAAATCTGAAGAGCCAGGGCTATCTGTAGAAGAATCGTCGAACAAAAAATATTTGTCATCAAGCACGTTCATTTCTTTATTTTTGCCGTCTTCATTCTCAGCTGTAGTTATTACTCTTAATTCATTTAGTAACAAGTCTTTGAATTGAGTTTTATATTCACTCGGTGCCCAACGTAATTTAAAAAGGGGATGAGTCATTGTAGCTAATATGGCATGATTAACGCTTGAGGAAAATGTTAAATATTCTTTAAATCTGCTTTCTAAACTATCTGATAACACAGTGATAAGCTTATATTTGAACTGTCGTAACTGTAATGATTTTAAAATTTTTTTAATACGTAGTAACGTGGGAATTAGTTCACCATAGAAGGTGGATTCAGAACCTTGAAGCTTATCTGATTATGCAAATGGTCTAAGGACTTCTACGTACTCCATAAGAAATTCAAATTCTGATTCTTTGAATTTTGGCAAATTTTAACTTTGACAAACTTCATTTAATTTATCCTTCACTTTTAATAAGGCCTCAAGGCAATCAAATCACTAATTAACTAAGAAATATAGTCAAAGTAAACGTATAATACTTGAATTTGAAGGAAATTTCTAAATTTTTTTATATACCGTTAAAAAAACGCGTGCGTAAACCACAGAAATCACGTAAACAAGCAAGCGACAACAGCACAAGCAAGCCAAGCACGTTTTGTGCAAGGAAGCGTTTTGATGCACTTCTTTACCCATTTTTAGTTTCTTTCCACAGATCACATTTGCAGGTAAACCAGAAAAACTTTGAATCGAATCTATACTACGTTATTTTAAATAGAAAATAGTTATACTGATTTATTTAAAATAGAAAATGATTTTATCTACAGTATTTAAAATACAAAATATAAAATGGCATTTTCTATTTTAAATACGTATTTCAAAGAAATTCATTCGAAATAGGTACCCACCTCTGACATGCACATCACGGAGCATATCGACTAACTTCGGGAATCGATGCCCTATAAATATTATTGTCGATACGAAGCACCCTATACATCATGTTAGTTACACAAGCTGCCAACCGAAATCTGGTGGGATTACAGAAAAGGGAAAGAGAGCGATGATGAGACGGATGGAATTTCTTGGAAGACCACATATGTTTACCATTTCAAACACCTGCAGTCCAGTTTTTTCCTAGAAATGCGCGAAATGCAGGGAATGGGCGATTTTTGGGTGGTTTTTAGGGGTATTAGCAGATCCAATTACCGCGTGGCTTGGGTTGGTCAAATAAATAGGATTTAACATGTGTGTTCATGGTTTTTTCTTGTAACCGGCTGAAGTGTAAAGTACGGCTTGTCTTGAAATATTTTTATACCATAATCATTACTGTGTGCTTTTGCTTTGTTATATCAGGTGAGGTATTTGCTTTTTTCAATTAATCTATAAATGTGTGTAACTTGAATGTAGATTGTAACCCTTTACTTATGTACTTACTGCATTCAATCACTTGTACCTTTAATGTGTAACCTTTGTTGGTATTGGCAATCATGTTTCATTGTCGGTAGGGCTGTATCTGTGCTGTACATACTTGCATGTGTACATATTTAATTTGTGTATTGTGCTTTTTAGTCACTCTCGATTATGTCATTGCATTTCATTATATTTGGTTATTTGGGATTGTGAGTAATCAAGAGGGAAGTGTGCTTGTCTAGAGGGGATCGAGTTATTCAAGATTATACGGCCTTGGTGAACCTAACACTAACATTTTCACTCGTTCCGAAACCCAACAACTTTAGCCCACGTCTACAGGCACCCCACTGGGCCTGGGTAATCCTCCCGCCCGGCGAGGTATATTTGACATCTCTTAGTGTCTGATGTATGTGTTGTAATACCTGGGGAATGGCTCGATTCCATTTTGGTTACTCATAGCG